GCTCCACACAATTGCAGCTTTTTCAGTCATTGTAACATTGAAGGAGAATTTAGATGCAGACAGATCCCGTGATTTTACCGATGGAAGAATTGTTCGGTCATACGAAAATGTAACGGAAAATGTGTTGAATTTGTCCCCGAAGTTAAGATATAAAAATGTAGAAAATTGCCCAATGCAAGTTTTGTTGCCTTTTGAAACACCTTTATTTTCGTCGGATTCGAATGCGTAGAACTTACCATTCCAAAAAATAATTTGAGTTCAAGCCAGAATCCTCGCTTCCGTTTGCTGGAGCTGCAAGTTAAGACCCATTCATCTTCAGAATCATAGAATCGACAAACTTTTCATTAGCTCCAGTAAGTTCCTTCCAACGAACCCCTCATAGAAGATAGTTAACGAACAGCATCAACTCAACCCACCAATTTCACTGACAAGTTTTCCAGTTGGAATCATGAACTTCCCTTTGCGAAATTTTCCAAAATTGGCGCAGGTTTAGCATCAATAGCAGCAATACAGATGCCCGTGGTGGCATACACTCAACAAACGATAACATGGAGAGTCTGAACGATCTCCAGTTGAAAAATCTCCATTAATGAGTGACAAATCAACGCCATCACCTACCTCATCGCATCGTTCAGTTGACTGAACTTAACTTCAATCATTTCTTCCATCGGTGCATTCCAGTTGTCCTTTGATCGCTCAAATTTGTTGCCACCCTTACTGCCCTCGTTTGTATTACGACTGTTAACTGAATGAATAGCGTTAGCATGACCACCAGAAGTGGTGGCTTCTTGTTCCGGTGACATCTTCTGCCACAGGGCAGTTTCAATTGCAGATGGCTAAGTTTATTAGTGAATCTATGTTTTCTGCAATATGCGAAAGCATGAATAAAGCGATGCAATCAGCTGACTGCATGTGTCGTTTGAGATAGCAGTGACATATTATTTCAATTGCAGAAACCGTGTTTTTATGGGTACATTTCTCATGATCTTATTACTGGCGTGCTGTAAAGGCTTCATGCCTATCGAATGTCCAAATGAATGAATAACTGAATGAATGAGCGATAGATTAATCAAACGCATAGATAAGAATGAAGACGAAGATACGAGCTATATCATATTGACATGAGTTCATTCTAGAACAGGCCAGAAGTCGTTCCAATCATTGCTACTTGATTTTTGAAATTTTTGTGATAACACGATGCTTGGTACAATCAGTTAATAATGCTCAGCTCACAACATGACTGAATGAAAAAGTTGCCAATGAGAGCATCCTATTCTCATGCACATATAAAATTTCAGTTGCAAAAAAGGAACGCTCAAAAATATCAACGGAAGGTGATAAGGTAGGGAGAGAGAAAAGAGCACGAAAAATTGAGTGATATCAATGAGCGGCACATGTAGAATTTTGAATTATGAATTATTAGTGCTGAAAGACCTGAACAGAAAATAATGTTCCACTCAGCCATATGGTTGTTAGCAATCAGGATTATCAATTGCTGGTTTCCTGTTCAAGAAGTGAAATGTTCTTTTCAATGGATTTATTTAATCGACTGTAGTCTAAATGATAACATAATAGTTGTGAAGACGTTGAATTGATTGTGAGAACGCACAGCGCCTGACGAAGTTGACTGCTGATTTAACGTGATGCTTTCAACTGCGATGGTACAAAGGAAGTCTTTCATAGCGAATTAGATGAGAAAAAAAATCAAAGCGTTTGATAACGTTTTGTCGAAGTGATTGAAAAAAAACATCGTTCGTGACTCGTATCGATTCAACATCAATCCATCGACAACGAGACTGAATTACGTTCTGTTGAGAAAAGTTTTGATGAGGTTTTACTTTTGTATTGGTTGCTTATTTAGATTTGATAACGAAACCAAGCAATGTATGGACCAAGCAGCAATGCTAGAGTTCGTCTCATTTTCAGCGTGTGTAAACATATATTTTTGTTGCTGTTGTTGTGGAGGCTGTCTTCTATGTTCATTTTGGCTTTGTTGTGAAAAGCAACAAAGTGGAATCACATGAATTATTGACACACTGCAAGACAAAACAAAAAATGCTCCTCTGCAGGGAACAGTCGAAAATTTTCAAATATGAAGAACGTTTGGCATTGAGAAAATTAACCTTTGGCGGGAACCCTCATCAACAAACAACTCTGGAGTCGTTTATAAGTGAAAAAATCATGCATGGTTGCGATGAAGTTAGGTTATAGTTGAATTTTTTGTGACTCAAACACTTAAACTATTTTGACATCAATAACCTGTTCAAGGTTATGGTACTTTCCCCCAATAACGCATATAGCCTTTCGGTTCAGGCCTGTAGTCTCCAATAACTCCACCAAAAAGATCCAAGGGAAAATGATTACAATTTCAAATCCACGTTTTTTTTTGATTTTCAATTTAACTTTTTATGCGCATAAACAGACGACAAATTCAATGTTTCCAACCATAAATAGGAATTTTAATCTAATTCCTAGTGAAAATTGTCATACTTTTCAAACAGTTTAGTCCGCTTGAAAGGATTGAGTGTACACACAAGTTTAAATCACAACATTCATACAATTCCATCAAAAGTGAACGTTAATCAGCGGCATGTGATTCATAGTACAGTTACTTTCGATGGATGATTCTTTGAGTAATTCGCCTACACCTATACGAATTCAATTAGGGGATACATTCAAATCTATTCAAGCATATATTAGTGAAATAAATTGCTCCTGCTGTGGCTGTATCGAATGGAACCTGTAGAAGTGATTGAACGTTCGCATTTTTGCTGGTCGTGGTCGACGAACACATAATAGTTTTGCAGTTATTATCTGACAACGCTTTGTGAATCACGGACTAAGTGCTGAGAAACGCACAGAAAATTACTGTTTAGTGCATCTATTCGGACGAAATGGGTCAATTTGCGATGCTGAAAAGATGAGGAAAGAAATTCAGTTCAAGTGAAGTGTAGAAACCACAAACAATAGAATTCGAACACTGAAAAGGAGCGTGAAAAGAACGTCTTTTCCAAAGATTTGTTTACGCCGTATGAGCAATCAGTGGACCATGAGACACGCCATCAACTGAACTATTAACAATTTTGAATGCAACGAACGAATTGCTCAGTGGGTACAGATCTGGATAGGATATTTCTCATGCAATCGTATTCACAAGCAATATCATCATCAATTTTCAGGTCTAATTATACACAGAAGCAATTTCTAGCTTTGATTTATGCTCGAAAGCATCGTTTGCACAGCAAACACACTCAATTTATCGAGAATAAACACATTCCATGTTCAAACAATGAGATATTCAGTGTTTCGTACACACGCTAGCTAGCGCCGAACAAACACTGCTGTAGGGAATGAATTCATTTCCTCGCCTGAATATTTTGCAAATATTAATTAATGCTTACGTCATGATCGTGTTCCTCTACGATTGTCTCGAACATCGAACGAAAGCTGAGAAAAAACTCTTCACATAATTTCAGGAACGTTTCCATTGGAGAAGTAGAGAAATTACTAAACAATACTATCAATGTCTTTCAGTTAGATCGTGGAAATCAAAAGTAAGCTGAAGTGTGTGATCTTAGGTAATTAAATAATCAAATGCATATTTTGTATCAAACAATAGGAATGAGTGAACAATATGATTAGGGACGAAAGTATAGGACAAGGGTCGTGCAACATGTTGTCACGTCACAATTCGAACTAACAAATCGAGACTGGCATTAAAGGAGCTATATCAAGGCCGGAAGGTAAGGTTTAAGGGTGGAGCTGGTTGTAGCGTCTTCATTTCTGACTAATATTGAGAGCATCATAAAAACAATGAATCATAAATAAGCCTTTTACAGTGTTTATGGAAGGGTTCAATTGTAGCACGATGTGAGCGATGAATGACGGAAGAAATGATTGCACTCACTGAACCAAGCATATTTCACAGCGGAATAGATAAATAAGGTAACAATTTGTCGCGCAGAATTACTAAATAACTGATCGATTATGCAGCTCTGGACAGCACTTGTCTCCAAATCTGAACGATCCGACATTATCGAGCCCGTACCAGGCAATGGATAGGCTCAGTTTAATGACTTAGACGTTTAGGAACGCAATTTATTTCTCATCAAAAGTCTCCGGTGACGATGAAAGCACTCTGGTGACGTGAACATTTACTGCAAAGGCAACGAGCAGTTCACATCATCACAAAGATATATTTGGCAAGATTTTTCCATACTATGAATCGATTCCAACAATCGTCTTAATATTTTCAATTTTCGGATTTCAGCTTGTTTACTGTCCCATAAACTGGTTTGTCTAGGCTGCCGCTTAATCTTCTTACCGCGTCTTCATTCAATAATATATTTGTCAGTCATAAATTGAATAGTATGGTAAGTTCGGATCGCGCAAGGTGTGGCATCGAAACGAATGGATAGAATATAATCTTCTTAAACGAACACTATTATGATCACAGACTGATTCAGTCATACGCAGCGTGAATCTTCAAAATATCTCCTTATATCGATAACGACATCAACAGCGCAAAACGAATCGGTTTCGAATGACGAATTAAAAGTGATTTTGGTGTGAAGTTATGAAGCATATTTTCAGTATGTGTGCTTTAATGATCCTCATTCTGAGCGAACATG